TTTTATTTATTTATTTGACAGAGAGAGACACAGCAAGAGAGGGAACACAAGCAGGGGGAGTGGGAGAGGGAGAAGCAGGCTTCCCGCGGAGCAGGGAACCCGATGCAGGGCTCGGTCCCAGGACCCTGAGATCATGACCTGAGCCGAAGGCAGACGCTTAATGACTGAGCCACCCAGGTGCCCCATACTCAGCGATTTTTAAAACGAGACAGATGGTGGTACCAAGTGTGACTTTTAAAAACATCCTGTGTTGGGCCACAATTTGGAGGGTCTGTGTAACTCTGTGAATGATGTCTTCTGGATGACCCATGCATGATATTACAAAATCACGCTTTCACAGTTCAAGGTAGACCGTAGATATTAAGTAACAGGGTGCAAAGACTCACTGACATGGTTTCTGATCCCGCACCAATTCCTCACCTTTCCGAGACTCCCACTTGTCGAGTTTTGGTGTAATAGCAAAGAAGAATGTCCTTAGTTATTGTAAAGGGCACTAAACTATTTCTCCCTTTTCCAACTACAAAGTAAGTGAGGCCCGATTTTCTTTTTATATTTCAACTCAGACAACGTATCACAAGAGACTCAATGCAGAAGCAGATTCACGATCACAGCCATCTTCTATCAAGGCAGATAGGAGAGAGATCAGCAAAATGTAAACCATGCCACTCTTCTCACTCATGTCTTTTCATTTTGGAAAATATAGTTATTTTCATAAGATTATATTATTTACATTAACATGCAATGGATTTATATTGTTATATTAAAAGAAATTACTAAGTATCTTTCCCAGTCTTTAGTTCTAGTAGGGTAAATATCTACGTCTGTTAAATATCACTCTGATTAAAAAAAAAAAATCCCCTTGGGATCAATACTTGTTAAGAAAGGAAGGGGTCCTGAGACTGACACATTTGAGACCTGCATTCACACTGATCCTGATTTGCCTTTGAAGTCTTTGGAGACGGAGCGGTGACTCCTGCAGGATTGGGTCTGGTGCCCCCAGCAAAAGGACTAATTATCGGGAGCCCCCGCTTCTCACTCTGGCCCTCCAACAAGCCAACATCTGCTCCCAGGAGGAAGGAGCTGGGATTTCTACCCGCTCCTACCCTACCCTACTTTGTCCTCCAGGACAAGAGCCAGCCAGCATGGCGGGTGAGAGAGAGGGCTGGCCAGTACCAGATGCAACCAGAGGGGCGCACTGGCTGTGGAGAGTCTGCAAACAGTAAGTAATCAACTCAAAGTCCGTCGTCCTGCCGTCATCAGTGGGAAAATGGTTCTCCCGAAAAATCTGTCGAAGTGAGCTCTAATCATACAGATAAAAGGTTCAAACCCACCTATTCTAGCTACTTATCCTTTGCCAGGTACAGGGCTGGCCAGATAGGCAGCAGCGTGCCTTCCAGCAGACAGCGGCGTCTGTGACTCCCCACGGTCCTGCCTCCACAGTGGACTCGGAGCAAACCCACGGGTACAGGGAGCCTGGGCCTCCCGGCCTCCCTCAGTCTATGTGAGCCACTGGGCTTGTGTTTCACACGATTTTACTCCACGGACCTGTGAAGGCCGCTAGAATCAGTTTCAAAGAACTGCAGACACGGACAATATCGCGATTTCTGGAGTTTCTTGGGAAATGGGGTTTGGGGCAATCTCTGCCAAGTGATCCTTATGTGAAAGACTCTTCCTGGGTATCGGTGTACAGATTGTTTCATGCGACAGAAACTCTTCCTAATTCAAATTAACAGTGTTTTGGGATCAACCATGAGTGCCGATGGACTGACCAATCTCGGACCCTGGTAAGTGTAGAGATGTGCAAAATTTTGATAAAGTCATTGGCAAATCTACAGAAGTGAAGGCCTCCAAACAGACACTGTAGTGCTAACACTCCTTTTACCACAACAGACCAATAGGGAGGCATTAAGTTCTTTCTATCCAAAAAATCACATTAATGTAATTTAAAAGTATTGATCTATTGCTGTTTTATGTGTGCTGTAATATTTATATATTTATTTACTTACTTATTTAAAGATTCTATTTTTAAGTCATCCCTGCACCCCACATGGGGCTCGAACTCACGACCCCGAGATCAAGAGTCGCATGCTCCACCGACTGAGTCGGTCGGGCGGCCCTGTAATACTTATTTTCATTTTTTTACTGGTGTGATAATACGTATGGAATTCAATAAAGGTGAATTCACTATTGGTGTTTGTTTTTTTTTTTAAACCTTTATTCTCCGATCATTTCCTGATTAGTCCTGAAAATAATGTTTACGGGAGGAGGGATGTTTAAAAAAAAAAAAAAAAGGAACAGACCATCCACTCTAGGTAGCAAATGCACTAGACTGGCTAGCGGTGCAAATGGTAACGCACAATCTCCCCCCGAAACATTGACCAACACCAGGGCTCAGGTCGGAAAGCGCTGGAGCCGCGGCAAACCAGACCGTGCGGGCTCCATCCACGGGGCAGTGCTTCTTGGCTCCGGCGGGATGCCTCCAGGTGGAGATGGAGGGTCCGTACTGCTGGATCGCCTCAGTTTACAAAAGGTCAGATAGCCAGTGTTCTGCAAGAATTTCTCCTGTTTTTTAAATGTTGGTAACTAATTCAAATTATAGACCAGCCCTTGGGCCAACAGGACGTATCTGTGAGCCACACTGGCTGCCAGCTCTCGAGCTCTGCTCTCTCTTCTAGAGCCTTCTCTCTGGGAAGGTTGGCTCTCTTCTTCCTGGTCTCCTGGGGCACAGATTTCACACGCCTGCTCCTTCCCAGGCCTTCCGAGTCCTGGCACCGTAGAGCCCAGCCCAGGCCCGGTGCCCAGTGGTTGCTCAACCCAAGTGTGGGACATGAGCAGATGAAGATGTGTCCCTCCTCCTCCTCCTGGGGCCATCTCGGCTCCCAGCGTGCAGCAGGCCCGAACGTGCTGGGCGTGGAGGAGGGCAGGCAGCTCAGTGGCCGAGAGATGCGGCGACCACGACTGGCGCCCTTAGGTGCCCGGCCTCCTGAGACGACCCTACTTAAAGGCCACCCATAGGAGAGACTTCTGCCGCCGGGCCTCACAGGAACACTGGCGGGCGGCTTGCTCGTGGGGCCAAACCCCTCTGGCCTTCACCGGGGCGCCTGTTCTCCGAGTGGGCTCATGCAGATCGCACTAAGCATTCTATCCGTGGAAAACTTGCTGGTCGTGGGGACCATGGGCACCACCCCACGCCCTTCTCTTCAGACAGAACCACCGAGTCCTTGAACCTTGCCTTCTTGGGCTCGTTTTCCAGCCTTTTAATCATTTCTGTGGCTTTTCTCCGGATCTTGTCCAGACTTTTTGTTTCCAGACCCCTGTCTGGAGTGTGGACATGAAACTGTCTCCCCCTCAGAAAAGGAATCAGCCCTGCCGACTCCTCCCGAACCTGGCCCCCCAGAGGCATGCCCCAATGCGAAGGTCCCAGAAGCCTTGCTCACTGTCTTCCTCCAGTGCCTCTGAGAGCTGATGAGGCCCCCGAGAGCCCTCCCCACCCTGGGACCCGCCCAAGCACCGGCCCCAGCACCTCACCTTCCCTTTGATGCTGAGACCCCCGGTGTCATAGACGATCCCTTTGCCCACCCATGCAATGGTTTGCGTGGCTCCTTCTGGGGTGTGGCTGAGGACGGCCAGCGCCGGGGGGTGGAGGGCAGCCTTGCCAACACCATAGATTCCTACAGAAAGCACAGGGAGAGGGTCAGTTGGGCTCAGGTTGAACTGTGCAGAGAACTCCCAGCAGCCCCCCAGAAACAACAGCTCTCCCCCGGAAATACCCACTGGCGTGTGAATATTTCTCCTGGAGAGTGTGCAGTCCAAGCCCGAGCTCCCTGCCCCCTGTCCTGCCCCCTGGCCAGCATGGGATGGGGGAAGGCAAATTAGTTCCAATGCTCTGGGACTGCAAACGAATTCCGTGCGAAGTATCGTTAGGCAAGAAAACCCGCTGAGAAAAAAACAAAACAAAACTGTATCATTCCCAGAAAGAAATGAACAGGGTTGCAGAATGAAATGATTTTTGGATAATGCTTCAAGGCCACTCCAGCCCACGCTCGTTCGCCCCTCCCTGAGCCCTCTGTGCACTCCGCGCCACACCACTCTTTCCAAGCCCGCTCCCACCACTGCCTTGCCCTGGGGTGTACGTGCCCTGTCTCCTCAAGAAAGCCTCTTGTGGGCAGAGACCAGGCCTCAAGGCCCCCGGCAACTGAACTGAATGAGAGCCAATAATGGCTGCCTGACAAACTCCCAAATATCCTGCAAAACCCGCCGTAAATACCATCTCCTCTGTGAAGATTTCCCTGACCTTCGCAGCCTCTGCCTCCACTTGTCGCTGGTTTATGTGTTCTGTGGTAGGCACCTCTAGGATAGCCCCCTCCGATCCCTGCCTCTGGGATCCCCTCTCTCTCAGTGTGGCTGGAACCTTGCGTCTTGCTTCTGGATACAGCAGAAGTGATGAGATACCACTTCCAAGACTATGTTGCAAAAAAAGACCTTGCCTCCTTCTTGCTTGCTCACTCTTCCTCGCCCAGAAACCTTGCTCTGAGGGAAGCAGCTGCTACTCGTGAGCTGCTCAAGGAGAGGCCCAGATGACAAGGAACAGCCAGCAAGGCCCCAAGGCCTGGTGACAACACTGTGAGTGAGCCTGGCTGGGACCACATCACCAGCCCCGGTTGAGACTTCAGATGACTGCTGATCTAATCAACATGCTGGTCTCCACGTGGCAGGGACCCTGGGCCCGGGATCCAGCCCAGCCATGCCTGATTCCCTGCCCATAGAACTATATGTTGCCTTCAGTTGCTTCCTTCTGGGGTAATTTGTTTGGCAGCCATTGATAAGGAGTGCAGTGACCCTCCCCCAGCCAGACTGAAAGTGCCTACACTTGTCACCATATCTCCAGTGCCTGGGGGCCAGGGAGGATGGGTCTGGTCATCAGGAAAGGCCCTCTGAGGAGGTAGATTCGACCCAGGATGTTCAGGGTCTGATGGCCCCTCTGTGAGAGTATCTTGGAGAAGGACTCCAGAGAAAGAGAGCCATAACGATGAGGCCCTGATGTGAACGTGGGCTTGTGTGCTCAAGGAGCAGAAAGGTCCTGCTGAGTTGGCCCAGGCAGCCAGGACAGCAGCCCTTGCGGACAGGGAGTGGGCTGGGGAAGGACTTGGACGCTGCAGCTTCCAGAGTCTGAATCAGCACCTCCTTTCTCCCCCAGAGATGGTCCGCTTCTCAAGGTCTGGCCTTGGGGTTGGACAAAGGCTGGCGCCTTTCAAGGGAAGCTTGAGGCATCGCAGTGCGTGACCCACAGCCACCCTGCCACCCCCAGCACCCAGGACCAGCCTGAGGCCACGGCCCGTAAGGCCCAACCCTACCCACCTCCAAAGCCTCTCATCTTTAGCTCCTCATCTCGGATGATCGTTGGGGTGATCCCCAGATCTTTTCCAACTTTCTTAATCTCCTGGACACATTCATGGAAAAAACAACACAAAGACACGTGAAGATGGCTTAAGTCAAGGCGAGGCCGAGGCTCGGGACCAGGGATGAACCGACGCCCGTGTGGCGGAGAGGAGCAGGCTCAGAATCCAGGGCCTCAACTCTCTCGGCTTGGAGCACGGTTAAATCCAGGACAGAAGGTTCACCCTCTAAACTACAGTAGATCATGGCTGCGGTCCTGCAGAAAGGCCTTGAGGAGGAGGCTCTGTCCTCCCTCCCCCCTCCACCGAGGCCTGGGGGCCCCTCGCAGCTGGGTGGACAGCAAGACTCTGTCCGCCGCAGCCCCAGGCGCCCCCAGGTAGGGTGCCAAGGCTGTAGGCACTGTCCCCCTCCAGCCCTGGGTATCCCCTGACTTCCTTGGGGTCTATCAACGTCTCGCCCACCCTGGCCCCACCCTGGCATGACTCCCTGGGGCCACGAACCTCGAGGAAGGTGTCTGTGTTCATCTCGTTGCAGGGAGTGTCCACGATACGGGCAGCCAGCCGCACGCCTTCCGTGGCGTTTGCTAAGCACTGGGGAAAGAAACCAGAGGCTGTCACTGGGGACCTAGGACCAGGTAGGAAGGGCTGTCCCTCCCTGTCCGTTGCCCCAGGGACCAAAGGCATCAGTAGCACATGCCACCCGGGGGAGATTTTGGGGCTGCTGACAGGGTGTCGAGGGGCAGGTCAGGGGGAAACAAGACTCACAGTGTCTGCTGCTGTCTTCCGGTGCCTGTGACCCACCCTGCTGTCCACAGAAAGGTCCACACGACTCTGCACCTCGCCTCCAGGTTACACGAGAATCCTTCAGCCTGGCACCCCCACCTGGTGTCAGTGGGGCCCACCTCCCTTTCCAGGCCTCATCTGCTGCTTACTCCCCTCATCCTGGCGGCAGGCGGTCCTGTGCCCGGCCCTGAATGCACGCTGGGCATTCCTGCCTTGGGCGCCTGGCAGTCCCATGTCCTCTCTTGGGGGAAGTGTTGTCCTTTGCTAGGGGCTGAATGTCTGCATCGCCCCTAAACTCATATGTTGAAGCCCTACCCCCGCAGTGGTCAGGTTTAGGTGAGGTCAGGAGGATGGGGCCCATGATGGGATTAGCGCCCTCACAGGAAGAGGGAGGGAGGGCACGGCCAGAAGACCACCACCTGCAAACCAGGCAGGGAGTCCTCAACCTGCCCTGATCTCAGACGGCCTCCAGAACCCTGAGAGGTACAGGCCTGTTGGTGAAGCCACCCCGTCGGCGGTATTTTCTTATGGCCACTGGAGCCGACCGATACACCCTCTCTTCTCCTCTTGTCAAGATCCTGGCCACCCTTTATGGCACTTCTTAAAGGCCGTGCCTTCCAGAAGCTTCTCTGGATCCTCCCAAAGGAGGAGAAGTTCTCTTCGTCCTGCACCCCAGCGCCCGCTGGTCCCCCTTGTGGCGCTCCGGCCGTGAGGGTGGCGTTTTTCTCACGTGAGCCCCATGGGAGTGTGACACAGACTCCCTGCCCTTGTGTTCCTGGCCATCCGATGCCGCACGGCTCTGGGTATGGAGTGCGGACGGAAGAACGCACAGACCCTGCCTCGTGCGGCTCATATGTTGGCCCAGAGCCCAGAGGGAGCAGGGACCTGACACCGTCCCCTGCGTGCTCAAACACAGGAGCCGCCCCAGGCCCCATGCTGGCCGCCCTCCCCGGCCCCACCCGTACTTTCTGCAAAGAACTTCTGTCCCCCTTTTGGTTCAGTGCTGATTCTGGAAGGTCTTTGCCTTCTCGCTCATCTCTGCCTAGCTGCTGCCCACGGCGCCGCCTGCCCCACCCCCATGCCCCCCCCCCCCCCCGAGCTTCGGACACGGGGCTGGCCGGCCGCCTCTTCCCTGTGTGCTGGGAAGAGGTGATACTGAAAGAGCAAAGCTGTGCAGGTGCAGTAGGGATGCAGAGAGCATCGAGTTTATCATCACCTGCCCAGCACCCCGGCGCCAGGGAGGGCAGGTTCTGGGTCCACTGCGCCAACCCAGCCACCTTCCAGGCCCTGCTGAATGGCTCGGAGAACTTCTGCCTTCCGGAGGTAATTAAACCCCCAAGCCTCAAAGGCAGGGACACAGGACTTGACAGCTCAGATATGAGATGTGACCTTGTGGTCCCCTCCGCCTGACAGCGGGCTCTCCTCTGGGAGGCCGAGGGTCCCTGTCTGTGGGCGTCGCAGAGACCACTGCTCATCTCTGACGCAGCCTGTGGTCGCTGTCTGGGAAGTGCGACAGTGCCCTAAGACTCGTCTCGAAGAAGACCGGGCGCTCGCCTAGCAGCCCTCCGTGGGCTCAGAGCCCCCGCTGCAGCCTGGCTGGGCGAGAGGGCACACAGCATCTGCGGGGGAACCTGGGGGAGGCTCCCAGTGCCCCTCCGCCACCACAGAGCCCCGTGACCCTGGGGAAGAGCTTGTGCCTCGTCGTGCCCCAGGATCGATCATTCATTCGTTCATTCATTCATTCCACCCATGTTTCTATGAGCACCTACTGTGTGCCAGGCTCCACACTAGACTCTGGGAATTCAAAGATGTCCAAGGTACTCCAGCCCAGCAGAGAATCACAACACCTCACTCCACTAAACACGACAGGGGAGGAGGGTATGAAAGACCACAGGGACCCGGGGGGGGAGAGGACTAGCGGGGGGGAGTGCTGAGGAGGTCTCCGTAGTATGGAAAAGGTCACCCAGGGTGCCTGAGGTTCCGTGCTCATGATCCAAGACAGACGGGAAAGAGAGCTGACAGACGGCGGCAGTGGTTAAGACCTGGCTCTGCCCCTTGCTGGTGTGGCCCCAGTAAGTCACCTAGCATCTCCGAGCCTCAGTCTGCTCAGCCTGACAGTGGAGAGAACAATGGTCCCACCTCCTAGGGCTGCTGAGAGGACTCAGTAGGCAGTCCGCGTCTACGCAAGCTACGAGCAGCCATGGGAAGGGGAAGTGGATGGAGGGCATCTGGAGGCAGCAAGACCAGTGAGGAGGCGGCCACAATGGCCCAGGAGAGCAGTGGGGCGTGGGTGGGGGCTCCGCAAGGCAGTGGCAGTGGGCAGAGTAGGATGCACTGGATGTGGGGGTCAAGGAGACCCACCAAGCCAACCGTCCTCGTCACATGTTGGGCCCCTGCTGGGACCACAGACCAGGTCCCTGCCCTCCGGAAGCTCCCACCCCAGTGCAGGGCGCAGAAGCTAAGCAGAGATGTGTCACATCAGGTGGTATGGCACTCAGCGGGCAGAGGGCCCGACTTCAAGCGAGGCCATGTCAGCCAGCCAGCTCCCCGTGGAAAGGGACGTGGGCAGACCCGGAGCAGGTAGGACCTGGAGAGGGAAGCTGAGGAGGACAGAAAGTCAGTCCACCATGGCCAGCGGGGAGGGAGGAGAAGGGCTTGGAGGATGTGGGGGGTCCAGGGTGCTGCTCAGGCCGGGAACTCAGAAGGAATGCCCTGCCGCTAGAGGGGAGGGGTGGTCGTCGGTGCCCGTCTGTGGGATGGAGCCCACAGGCGCTCGGAGAACCCAGATGAGAGGAAGTGAGATCGGAATGTGGGAATGCTCTGGAAAGGGGATGTAGAGGCGGCAGGCGGGAGGGGGCGTGGGAAGGAGGCATGGCTCTGGGTGGGGCAGACCCTTCAAGGTGGGGGGGGATGACAAATGGGACGACCAATATTTAAGTCCAGCAGACAGGGTCCTTAAAAAATCAGTGTCAGGATGCGGGGTGGAAACTCAATTTGGGTAGGCTGAGGGGGAAAGGGAGTTAAGAAAGGCAAAACAATTAGACCGTGTTTTTTCAATGTTTGGAAATCAATGGAAGGAAAAAAGCTGTTGCAAGATGATAGAGACAGAAGCATGTCCTCTCCTTCTAGAGCAAAGGATCCAGGGGGAGGAGGCAGCCGGTGAGGGGTGCTGGCCTGGGACAGCAGTGAGGGGTGGGGTAGGAAGGACAGCCTGGGTCTCAGTGGGGGTGGGGAGGGTGAGGTCACGGCCACGGGGTCCGGGACACTCGCTGCGGGGATGGAATCTGCCGGTCGGCCCAGACCAGGACTCCTAACCTGGAGTCCCTCCCAGCCTTGCTGGCCTCAAAAGGATTATGATCCAAGGAAATAACATATGTAAAAGTGCGCCACAGAGGGAGGGGATTCTCAGGATTAAACAGGAGAGCTCCTGGTGCTGGGTAGGTGCTCAAGAAATACGGGTCGAAAGGCCTGAGTCCTGACCAGGAAGCGCAACCCCCCCCCGAGGAAGGGGGCCAGCTGCCCGGGTTTGGAAAGGCCTCCGGGCCCCCCGGGGCTGTTGCTGCTGCATCCCACTGCCACCGTCCTCCCCTTCCAGCTGCCCCAGCGTGTGCGGGCCCAGGGACCCAGGGCGAACGTCCGGACACCCACTTGCAGAGTGGACACCTCCACTGGCCCGTTGTCTTGTCCCACCAGGAAAAACTCCACCGTCACCGTCTTCTTGTCTGCACGCCGGGCAGCCCCAGAGCGGTGGGTGAAGAGCGGGAAGGCTCGGGCCAGGGCGCAGGCGGAGGCGAAGGCGTCCGAGCGCTCGCAGACCATCTGCAGCACAGAGAGGCAGAGCCGTGAGCGGGGGCAGACCCGCTGGAGCGACCCCGGGGAGGAGCTACACTCGGGACAGAGGGGCCCCAGCAGAGGCGCCATGCGGGGGCCTTCGGGGAGCCATCGTCCAGCCCTGGGAGAAAGAAAACATCAGCCACCAGATGCGGACTGCCTCCGAGGCGGGAAAGTAGGACGTGGAGGGGCGTGGGCTCAGGAAATCTGGGTCTGAGGCTCAGATCGACCACCGAACCTGATCTGGGGCAAATGGCCTAGTCTCTCGACCTCAGTTTCCCTGTCTGTAAGCAGGGGTGATGACGTCCTGGGCGGTGGCGGCACGTCCACGTCGGAGGTCCTGCCAGCCCGGGTGCCCTGCCCGCACCGGGGCGGAGCTACGGGGACACCCGCTTCCCACGAGCACGGGGATGGCCGTGGGCACTCACCAGAATGCACCGATGGGTCCCGGGCGGCAGGCAGGTGCGCACCAGGCGGGTGACGAAGTGGGCGGCCGAGGGGCTGTTGTGTCGGCTCACCCTGGAGGGCAGGGCGGCCACGGTGGCATAGTTCAGGTACAGGGGGCAGCTGTCCGTGGGGTTGGGGTTGAGCGTGCTTAGAGCGGCCTGCCAGAGCTGGACGGGAGGGGGAGAGACAAGAGACAGACGCTAGCCATCAAACAGTCCGCATGCCGGCAGCCGGGCCCTGCGCGCGGCAGCTTCCCCGGGGCACCCACGCTCCCTAATTAAGATGTGTGGCCTCTCGCTGCAGCTCAGCGTGTGTGTGTCTGCTGGCACGGTTCCACCCTTGTGGGATTAAGCCGTGGGGATTTAAAAGGCCAGGCTGGGCCCGCCGGGCTTCAAACGCCGCGACCCCGCACCGCACCGGGGTGGGCCCCAGCCAGGTGCCACCGGGAGGGCTTCCGGGAGCGGGCGGCCGGCTCCCCGGGCAGGGCCGCGGGGCCCC